TGTGTGTGTGTGTGTTACTGTGTTTGTGTGTGTGTGTGTGTTACTGTGTGTGTGTGTGTGTGTGTTACTGTGTTTGTGTGTGTGTGTGTGTTACTGTGTTTGTGTGTGTGTGTGTGTTACTGTGTTTGTGTGTGTGTGTGTTACTGTGTTTGTGTGTGTGTGTGTGTTACTGTGTGTGTGTGTGTGTGTGTGTGTCTGACCTGGCGAGCTCTTCTGTCTGAACTCTTCGTCCTGCATCTCTATCAGCACTGCAGGAGGAGAGAGGAGACAAACCTTCATCAGAGGAAGATGACACTCGACTCATCATCATCTGTTCTCTGCCTTTATTCACCTGCTCTCAGGTGTTTCCTGTCAGGTCGTCGATGTGCTTACTTTAATTCACTGATGGTAAATCAAATGACGGCATGACGTCTGCGGCTGCGTCTGAGTCAGACGGTGCAAATGTCACTGTGTTAATAAAGTTTGATTCAGTGTGGTCACATGACATGGTGAACGTGTTCAGCTGAACGTGACTTCAGCTCACAGTCGGAGAGACGTCCACGTTTAAATGTTTGGATCAACCTGCAGTTCCTCTATCCTCCACTAGAGGCTGGCTGCAAGACTGAGTCAGTCCCCACAGACCTCCAGGTTCAAATCTGAATAAAATTACGGACTTACGTACGATGACACGACCCGCTGGTTTGTGGACGCAACGTTTTGGAGCCAGAAGTGACCATACTGCATCCAATTCAAAGCCCTAGTGCTCACATTCAAGGCCATCCATAACCTCGCTCCTCCATCCCTCACTGACCTCCTCCATCCCTCACTGACCTCCTCCATCCCTCACTGACCTCCTCCACCCTTCACTGACCTTCTCCATCTTTCACTGACCTCCTCCATCCCTCACTGACCTCCTCCATCCTTCACTGACCTTCTCCATCCCTCACTGACCTCCTCCATCCTTCACTGACCTCCTCCATCCTTCACTGACCTCCTCCATCCTTCACTGACCTTCTCCATCCTTCACTGACCTTCTCCATCCCTCACTAACCTCCTCCATCCTTTACTGACCTCCTCCATCCTTCACTGACCTCCTCCATCCTTCACTGACCTCCTCCATCCTTCACTGACCTCCTCCATCCCTCACTGACCTCCTCCATCCTTCACTGACCTCCTCCATCCCTCACTGACCTCCTCCATCCTTCACTGACCTCCTCCATCCCTCACTGACCTCCTCCATCCTTCACTGACCTCCTCCATCCCTCACTGACCTCCTCCATCCTTCACTGACCTCCTCCATCCCTCACTGACCTCCTCCATCCTTCACTGACCTCCTCCATCCCTCACTGACCTCCTCCATCCTTCACTGACCTCCTCCATCCCTCACTGACCTCCTCCATCCTTCACTGACCTCCTCCATCCCTCACTGACCTCCTCCATCCTTCACTGACCTCCTCCATCCCTCACTGACCTCCTCCATCCTTCACTGACCTCCTCCATCCCTCACTGACCTCCTCCATCCTTCACTGACCTCCTCCATCCCTCACTGACCTCCTCCATCCTTCACTGACCTCCTCCATCCCTCACTGACCTCCTCCATCCTTCACTGACCTCCTCCATCCCTCACTGACCTCCTCCATCCTTCACTGACCTCCTCCATCCCTCACTGACCTCCTCCATCCTTCACTGACCTCCTCCATCCCTCACTGACCTCCTCCATCCTTCACTGACCTCCTCCATCCCTCACTGACCTCCTCCATCCTTCACTGACCTCCTCCATCCCTCACTGACCTCCTCCATCCTTCACTGACCTCCTCCATCCCTCACTGACCTCCTCCATCCTTCACTGACCTCCTCCATCCCTCACTGACCTCCTCCATCCTTCACTGACCTCCTCCATCCCTCACTGACCTCCTCCATCCTTCACTGACCTCCTCCATCCCTCACTGACCTCCTCCATCCTTCACTGACCTCCTCCATCCCTCACTGACCTCCTCCATCCTTCACTGACCTCCTCCATCCCTCACTGACCTCCTCCATCCTTCACTGACCTCCTCCATCCCTCACTGACCTCCTCCATCCTTCACTGACCTCCTCCATCCCTCACTGACCTCCTCCATCCTTCACTGACCTCCTCCATCCCTCACTGACCTCCTCCATCCTTCACTGACCTCCTCCATCCCTCACTGACCTCCTCCATCCTTCACTGACCTCCTCCATCCTTCACTGACCTCCTCCATCCTTCACTGACCTCCTCCATCCCTCACTGACCTCCTCCATCCTTCACTGACCTCCTCCATCCTTCACTGACCTCCTCCATCCCTCACTGGCCTCCTCCATCTTTCACTGACCTCCTCCATCTTTCACTGACCTCCTCCATCTTTCACTGACCTCCTCCATCCTTCACTGACCTCCTCCATCCCTCACTGACCTCCTCCATCCTTCACTGACCTCCTCCATCCCTCACTGACCTCCTCCACCATGGGGTCCAGAGCCATGTTGATTCGTTCTGTGGGGACGGACTCGCTCTGGGCGACAGCCTCTCGTGGACATCGGAGGAACTGCAGGTTGCTGTTTGGTTTTCACAGACTGTGTTTAGGTTCCTGACATAGAAATGGACAGGAAGTGATGTAAGGACACAGGCCCTGTGGTGCGTGTCAACTGTAGACATGTACAATGTATCGTATGGTACCTGCAGTCCAGGTGACTGTGTGGCGGTCAGAGGTGTGTTTGATTTCAGCACCTTGTCGGCTTCAGAAAGTCTCTATCCGTTAACACCCTGCGGCTCAGACGACCTTCACACAGATTGTTACTGAATTTTTAAAGATCTCATGATTCTGAGGTCTTCGATTTCAAATCCATCATGACACAAATATGTCAGAGGGAAGTCCCTGAACTCATCACGCAGTGTTCGTCCATGGAGACAACAAACACAAACAGATGCAACAAACAAATGACAATATGAACCCACCAGTCCTCCTCACAGCTTAGACCGCCCCCAGCCGACGGAGACGCCGTAACGTTTGGTTTAATGAGCAGCAGCAGCAGCAGGTTGTTTCAGAAGAGAAAATGAGGAGAACACAGCACAACATAAGTCTCCTCTGGTCTGTAGAGATGCTTCTGAAACATTTTGCCTCTGAGCTTTTATCCTTCAGTCAGGAATATGATGAAGACAAACTCGACTCTGGAGATCGTCTGCCTTTTCCTCTTTTTAGAAGTGAGTAAAGATCTCAGCGAAGACTCTCACTGACTGCTTGTCAGAAGTCATCAGATTCACACATGGTGGAAAAAAAATTCCATCACAATTTTCTTTGACAAAATGAACACTGGTGGTTTGATGCTGCCAAAGCTTTAGACTGTGTGTACTGGAGTTAAAACCTTGTGTTTGAACAGAGAGTTGCGACACACAGAATAATCTGACACACGGTCACTTACATGGTGAATTATTACTCTGTACCTGCTTTATTAAAGTGCACTGAGGTATTTACAGGTATCTGGATATTAACTGGGATAAATCTTTGTCCTCTTTGAATCAATGTAAGGTTTGTTTGTCTCAATCAGAATTAAACAACTGAGTAGAGAGACAAACCACTTCTTCACAGAATGAAAGTATATTTCAGAGGATGAGTCAAACTTCATCTTGTAATAAACTCTATTAAAGTGATGACGGCGTCTCACATCCTGTCCCATCTCCCTCTGAATGCCACTGATTGCTGCTTCAAAGTTTTTATACTCTCACTCAAGATATTCATTGTTTAGAAATAAGTAAGAGAAAAGAAACTGACACCAGTTGGCTGTTACTGTGGGCCAATGAGAACATGGCTACCAAGAGATAAACCAAGCTGGTTCCAGCTAACCGGGCCGGACCGGACTGTGAACAACCTGATCAGTACATTTACTCTGCACTCTGTCACTGTGACTGAGAGATGACTGTAGTGATCGGTGTGACCAACGGACAGCTGTGATCAACCCTGGAGAAGATGGCGGTGTATACGGGAGTCTGTCTTTGGCAGATCTCCTATTATCTGGAGCGATCCTCGTCACTCTGTGTTGCCTTGTTTCATAACCGCCTGTTGAATTAGTGCGTCTGCTTCAGTCATTTCGATATGAGCTTTTAACAGACGAATAGAGCATAAAAAGGAAGTGTGTGAAGAACAACAGCTTGTTGTTGGAGAGCCCGGCTGAAGGAACCTCTGAGACCGTGAAGATGGTTTGTTAAAGTTCATCACTGAAGTCTGACTGTGGACCACATCACACAAGAGGACACGTCCCTCCTCACAGTGTCCTGTACTGGCGGATGTTTCAGCTCCAACTGCAGCAGATCGTTCTGATTGGTCGGACTCTCTTACCTTCAGAGTTTTGGCGGGAGGCAGCTCCTCGGATCCTGAAGGCCTGTCTGGTTCTGCTACGTTCTCCGAAGCTCCAGCTCTTTGGAACCTTGCTGGGACTCTCCTCCAGACTGGGCTCCATGCTGGGGGACCGCCGCAGGGCCTGGACATTCCCCAGGCCTCCAGGACCTCCAGGACCAACACCAGGAGCAACACCAGGGCCAACTGTGGGAACCACTGGAGACAGGAAGTGGGGAAGAAAAGGAAGAGGTCAAGAATGGGACACACCAGAATCTGGTTTGGTGTTCTGGTTCATGTCGGTCCAACAGGTTTTCATTCAAACCAGTTACATCCGGTCTGGTTAAACTTACCCAAATATGGATCATAGTATTACAACAGTACACAAGAAGAGCTGTACAGTTTCCTGTTGGAAGGTTAAAGTCATCTATAGTTTTCTCTGTAGTGTTATTTTATTACCTGTGGTAGTCATATATCGTGTCTATAGTAATACTATGAAGATGGTACAGTGAATGTGCAGTATCAGTATACTGTGTGTAATAATATCTAACAGCCTAAATGTTGGAAGCTTAAATGTTTCTCCGACGTCATTGAGTTAGACAATGAACTGACTGGATATTGGTTGTTAAAGTTAAAAGGTCAAATATGTTTCTGTCCATAACTGAAGAATTCATTCACTAATTCTGACCAAACTTGACACAAATGTCTAACAGGATAAAATAATGAAGGTCAAAAGGTCAAAGGTCAGCTTGACTGTGACATCATCATGTTTTAATGTCATATCTCAGGAACAGAAGGGGAGACATTTGGTCAGATACTGAATTGGTGACTCTAATCTTGGAACTGTGCTGATTGTATAGATCTTCTGTGTGTGAAGCATCCATGTTTTCACTGACATGGATGGAGACTGTAAAAACTGACTGGAAACTGGGCACTGGAGGCAAATGACCCCGAGGTGGTGATTCTAGTTTCACTATCATATCATCGGTCAGTCGTATTACTACAGTTGTTTCATTACATTCTAACATGATAGAAATACTACAGAAATAATACTCCAGTGTTTCTGTGAGGTGGTTCATTGCGGGGCTGGTGGGAATAAAAAGTTGCAGACTGTTGAGTCTCTACAGGCCACACTAAACCAATCGTCCACTTTTCATCCCCACACCACAGGAAACGTACAACAGTAATCAGACTGTTCAACATTTAAAAACACTTCGGCACCAACACCCACCGTGCTGAGGAGAACCTTTTCCTTTAGTTCCTGAACTGCGGGGAGACGAGAAGACCCTCTCCTTCAGACTGACCTTCTGACTGCAGGAACAAGAGACAGACACACAGGTTGAATTGGATCTAAAAGTCTTTGGGATCAGATGGCAGTCAGTGTCCTTTACTGTGAAAGGACACTTCCTGTGTGATCCCACATTTCTTATTTCCTGTCCATAACTTCTGTCTCAGTGTTTGACTCCTGCACAAACAGGAAGTCCAGGCCAGGACAGTGAAGGACAACATCAGGGACAGGTTCAGGCCTTCCTGGAGTCTCTTGGTTGGAAACGTTGAAACATCACCACCAGCCGGCCTGATCTGAACCTGAACCTGTAACGTATTCGTGGTCTGCATAAATGTACAACGCCAACATTTACACTGCTCAAAACACTCAAAGTTCACAGTCTAACAGGAAGTGCATTGGAGAGGCAAAAGCAGGAAATAGTCTGACGTGGTGTCCACAGACAGTTGCTCTCTCCTTCTCCTTCCTGACTGATTCTTCTCTAGTTTGGTCCTTGGCACTACTGGTAGCATGAGGCGGTTCCTGCGGCCCAATCAGGCTGCACAGGTAGTCCAGCTGCTCCAGGACGGCACATCCATACATATGGTCACGGGACCGTTTGCTGTGTCTCCCAGCATAGTCTCAGGAGCATGATGGAGACATCACATCATCTTAATGTTTGACTTTGATTTTTATTGTGATTTTGGTTCCAGCCCTCAGTGAGTTGATCATTTTAGTTTCCACTGACCATTGTTACGTCAATTTGTTCTGAACAAATTATACCATGTACATCAGTAAAGATTTTTACCTTGAATAATTCAATCATCAAGATCTGATGTATGATTTAAGTGTTTCATTAATATTTTATATTAATATTCTGGTGACTGGATCCAAAGCTTCTGTCGTGCTGCTGGAAGGAGACTCCAGACCGCTGAACTCTGTGTAGTGCTGTTACAGTTGCAATCAAAATTATTCAACCCCCATTGCATATTAGGCTTATTGGCAAAATGTACAATTTTTCAGCTGTTTGCAATCAACAAAGTAGACAAGAACAGTTGAAATAGTTTAATAAAACTAATATTACCATGGTTTTTATCCAAATTCAACACAAAATGCTACTTTTAATCACTACTGCAGTCTCAAAATTATTCAACCCCCTGTCTCAAGCACACCTGGTGCAACTAATCAAGGGCTTCATTAGTTCAGGTGTGCTTGAGACAGAACACATAAATACCTGGACTGGCTAGGGTTTTGTTGAGAGTGACGTTTGATTGCATGTTAGAAATATGGCTAAGTCAAAAGAATTGTCCAAAAAGTTCAGAGAAGAAATCATTGCCTTGCACAAACAAGGAAAAGGATACAAAACAATAGCAAAAGCTCTGAATGTTCCTAGAGGTACAGTTGGAAGCATAGTTCGCAAGTCACACGACATGTTTTCATCTCCCTGTTTGCTTGAACACGACCGAGCGGCCGCGACGTGGAGACAAGTCCAATAAAGTTCATTCAACCACAACATGTCAAATACAAACACTTTATATCTGACGTCAAACTGCTGACTGCAGGTTCTGACCGCCAAAACTCTGATCAATGAACGATCAGGTGATTGATCAGGTGATAGATCAGGTGCTCTGATCTCAAACAACAACTGATCTGACAAATGCAGCACCAGTCAGACTGAATCAGAGTGAGTGATCAGAGTTGGACACTGACCTGGGAGACGGCTCAGGCTGGACGTCCTTCCTGCAGAGGGACACACAGACAGAAGGACAGGCAGACAGACAGAGGGACAGAAGAACAGACAGGCAGGAAGACAGACAGACAGAGGGACAGAAGAACAGACAGGCAGGAAGACAGACAGACAGACAGAGGGACAGATAGACAGGAGGACAGACAGACAGACAGACAGACAGAGGGACAGAAGGACAGACAGACAGAGGGACACACAGACAGACAGGAGGACAGACAGACAGAGGGACAGAAGGACAGAGAAACAGACAGACAGAGGAACAGAAGGACAGACAGACAAGAGAACAGACAGAGGGACAGACAGAGGGACAGGCAGACAGACAGAGAGACAGGCAGACAGACAAGCAGACAAACAGACAGACAGAGGGACAGACAGAGGGACAGAAGAACAGAGTGACAGAAGGACCGGCAGACAGACAGTTAGAAGGACAGACAGACAGAGGAACAGACAGAGGGACAGACAGAGGGACAGGCAGACAGACAGAGAGACAGGCAGACAGACAAGCAGACAAACAGACAGACAAACAGACAGACAGAGGGACAGACAGAGGGACAGAAGAACAGAGAAACAGAAGGACCGGCAGACAGACAGTTAGAAGGACAGACAGACAGAGGAAAAGACAGACAGAAGGACAGACAGATGGGCAGTTATTATTAACTCCTAAATTCAGAAGTACGGTGGCTGAGAGAGGTCACAACACCCCCAAATTCAGAAAACACATTTATCAATTTTGCAACACATACACTGCAAATCCTCACAACACAAGCAAGGAGCTGAATGCTCCGCAAAAACGAAAACACGCGTCAAGTTGAAGACGACAACAGAAATGTTTCCAGGGGCACGGTATCATTCACAGACCTGCTTTTGGTTGCAGGTTCATCCCAATATCCCTTGTTGACTCCTCCGTCCTCTGTCCTCGATCACTTTCCGCGGAAACTGATCAAGACTCGCCATCTTGTAGTATGGAACTTGTCAGTTTGTTAAATGCGCTCGGAGAGACACAAGTGAGGGAAACGTAGATTCGAGATTCGGAATTGGGATGAACACAAAAACAACTGAGATGCTCTGACCAGACATGAGGACAGTCTAGAAATGTCTACAACCAGTAAGTTCGTCACTGATTAGGGTCCCCCTGGAAACGTTTCCGTTGTCGTCTTCAATTTGGTGGGTGTTTTCATTTTTGTGGAGCATTCAGCTTCTTGCCTGTGTTGTGAGCATTTCCATCATGTTATCTCATTTGCATGTGTAGCAGCAGTAGTAGCAGTAGTATCAGTAGCAGTAGTTGCAGTAGTAATAGCAATAATAGTAGCAGTAGCAGTAGCAATAGTAGCAGTAGTAGCAG